CAGTTTTAGTTTAATTTAATTGCAATAATTACTATTTATTAGTCAAACTTATTTGCAATTCTAATTCCAATTTGACTGGAACGCTGTCTGCAAACAACAATCGCAATCTTTTTATTTGCAATTTTAGTTTAATTTAATTGCAGTAATTCTTATTTATTTGCAGGCCTTATTCAAATTTATCTGCAATTATAATCTAATTCATTTGTATTCGCAATCTTATTTATTTGCAGTTTCAGTTTTAGTTTAATTGCAGTAATTCATATTTATTTGCTAGCTGCAGCTACCTGCAACTAACTATGGCTAGCTGCAGCTAGCCACAGCTAACTACAGCTAACTACAGCTAGCTGCAACTAACTCCAGCTAGCTGCAGCTAGCTGCAACTAGCGCCGGCTATAGTAAGCTAGCCCCAGCTAGCTAGCTAGCTGCAGCTAGCTGCAGCTAGCTGCAGCTAGCTGGAGTTAGTTGCAGCTAGCTGCAGCTAGCTAGGAGATGCGCTGGAGCCGCTGACAGTGTGTACTGCTGCATTTACAATCACTGTCGCTGCGGCCTCTGCCGCTGCTGCTGCTACTGCTGCTGCTCATGCTGCTGCTGCTGCTGCTGCTGCTGCTGCTGCTCATGCTGCTGCTGCTGCTGCTGCTGCTGCTGCTTACCATTGCGCTAGCGAGGGAAATGAGTTTCCAAACAAAGTAGGCGGGGCGGAATCCTTTGCCGCGGGGGAACTGCGGCTCATAGACAAGCGACGGGACCACCATGTAGTAGAAGAAGTTCGGCAGATTAACCTGAAAAATAAAATTAAAAAGAACAAATAAATAAACAAACAAATAAATAAATAAATAAATAATAAATAAATATAAATCAAAGCCAAGAGCTCCCGTTTCGGCAGGCGAGAGGACGCGCTTTGGAGGCCTGGGGTGTCTAGACACCCGAAATTGCGGACAGAGGGTTTCGAGGAGTTTCTGAAAATGACGAAATGCCATTTTGGAAAATAATAAAAGTGATCTTAAACTGTTATTTTAATTGTCGAATTATTTTCATTCCACAGAAGCGAAACAAGTTTGAAAACAATAAAGATGAAGATCACTTTAGTTGTTTTCAAAATGGCGCTTCAGCTGCACGAGGTGTCTGTACACCCCGGCGCTCACGTTGCCAGGGTAATGCTTGCATGCTTCTGCAGTATTTCTTTTTCGGTGGAACTCCAGATTGATTTCTGTGTAGGAGTGCATCTGCAGCAGCAGCAAAAGAAAAGAAAGAAAGAAGACAACAGAAGCCAAACTCAGCAGCAAAGACTGGCGCACTAAGCAGAGACATTCAAGTGGGACTTAAAGACAAAATTATAAAAAAAAGAGACAAAATTATTTTAAAAAAACCAAATGGAGTTGAAGACAGAGTCAATGAACACCGTCTTCTTCTAAAGAACGCGCGGAGGCCAAGGGGCCCCAACTGCCTCTTTTGGACTTCACCGAAAAACCAAAAGTTGTTCAAAAGCACCTTCATGAAGTTGCACACGGCAGCCACTTGCACAAAGGCCGCGGGAATTATTGGCCACCTGCAGCAAAAAAATGCAAAACTCCAAAGTCCCCAATTTGCACAAGTCCGCAGAAATCCACAAATAAATATGTTTGTCTGAAAACACATTTGCACAAATGTACTCCATAAATGTATTTATATAAACGCATTTACACAAATAGATTTGCATAAATATATTTATATAAACACATTTACGTAAATGTACTCCATAAATGTATTTATACAAATGCATTTACACAAATATATTTGCATGAATGTATTAATATAAATAATATATTTCTATAATCAATATATTTCTATAAATATATTTCTTTATAAATATATTTTCATAAAAACAACTCAAGTCCCCACTTGTGGTAGAGGCAGTAAATAGACTCCATAAATACATCAATATGAACACATTTCCACAAACATACTCCATAAATATATTAATATAAACAATACATTTCTATAAATATACTTTTATAAACAATATATTTCCAAAAACATATCAATATAAACAATACATTTTTAAAAAACAACTCAAGTCCCCACTTGTGGTAGAGGCAGTAAATAGACTCCATAAATACATCAATATAAACACATTTCCCTAAATATACTCCACAAATGCATTAATATAAACAATGCATTTCCATAAACAATATATTTCTATAAATATGCTTTTATAAACAATATATATTTCTTTATAAATACATTTTAAAAAATAAAACAAGTCCCCACTTGTGGTAGAGGCAATAGATATACTCCATAAATACATCAATATAAACAATGCAATTAGACAAACACATTTGCCCAAATGTACTCCATAAATATATTAATATAAACACATTTCCACAAATATATTTCCAAAAATATAATTCCAAATATATACATTTCCAAAAATATATTTTTATGAAAACAAAACAAGTCCCCACTTGTGGTAGAGGCAGTAAATAGACTCCATAAATACATCAATATAAACGCATTTCCACAAACATTCTCCATAAATATATTAATATAAACAATACATTTCCATAAATATACTTTTATAAACAATATATTTCCAAAAACATATTAATATAAATATATTTTAAACAAACAAATCCCCACTTGTGGTAGAGGCAGTGGCCCACGGCGTAGGCAATGGCCGCGCACTGCGTCAAATGCTGGCAGGCGAAAAGAGTCCGCCGGCCGATGCAGTTCTTCAGGAACAACACGTGCAGCACGTACGCCCTGCACGCACCGCTGCTGCTGCTGCTGCTGCTGCTGCTGCTGCTGCTGCTGCTGCTGCTGCTGCTGCTGCTGCTGGTGCTTTTGGTGCTGCTGCTGCTGCTGCTGCTGGTGCTTTTGGTGCTGGTGCTGGTGCTGCTGGTGCTTTTGGTGCTGGTGCTGGTGCTGCTGGTGCTTTTGGTGCTGGTACTGCTGCTGCTGCTGCTGCTGCTGCTGCTGCTGCTGCTGGTGGAAGAAGTTCTTTTTGGTTTTTTATCTTTCTGCAGAAATGTGGAGCCTTTAATGCTTGAATTCATAGTTGCTTTTACTTATTTGTATATTTATTTATTTATTTATTTTCCGAGTTTTCTTACGTGAGGGACCAGACGGTCAACTTGAACCACATGAACATCTGCAGAAAGAAAAACCAAATAAATAAATAAATTAATTAATTAATTAATTAATTAATTAGGGGCATCAAATGGAACAAAAATAAAATAACATAAAAGAAAATAAAAATAATGTAAAAAATAAAAAAAGGAAAAGTAGATGAGACCGGAAGACAAGGTGGCTTTCGTAAGAGCTGCAAACGTGAATTTGGATTTATTTTGAATTATTTTAAAATTAAAAATTAAAAATAAATTTCGAATTTTAAATTTAATTATTTTAAATTCGGAATTGAATTAACTCACCAGGTAAAAGAAGTCGTAAAACATGCTGACGGCCAACTGCAGAAAGAGAGGCAAAGACAGAAAATCTGGAAAGTGAAAATAAATTAAATAAAATAATAAAATAATAAAATAAAATAATAAACAAACAAATATAAAATAAAAACAAAAGAAACAAAGAAATTCGCAGAGAAGGAGTCAAAAAGAATACCTAAAAAGAAATGAATGCCGGCTCGAGGTGTACGTACACCCCAACTCACCGAAGTGTCAAAGTACTCTCCTCTTTCGTACCAACGCATTACAGGGTTTGCCACTAAATAAAAAGCCGAGCAAATGACTGCACGCAATTCGACACAAAAGCAGCAGCTGCTGCTTTGCTGCTGCTCGTGCTGCTGCTGCCGCTCGTGTTGCTGCTGCTGCTCGTGTTGCTGCTGCTGCTCGTGTGACTGCTGCGCTGCTGCTAAACGAGCTGCGGCTTCTGCCGCTCTTCGCGCTGCTGCAGCTGCTCCCGCTGCAGCGCAGCAGCAGCAGCAGCAGAGCAGCAGCAGCAGCAGCAGCAGCAGCAGCAGCAGCAGCCTCACAGAGAAGCGTGGCGAATCCTCTGTAGGGAGATTTGGCAATGTCTGAATTCGGGTCAAAGAAATCCAGTTTGGAAGGACAGCAGCAATTAGTTGTGTTTTCAATCTCGTTTGCTGCTGCCTTTGCTGCGCTGCTGCGCGCCTGCGGGCCTTCTGCTGCTGCTGCTGCTGCTGCTGCTGCTTCCGAGTCCCCATCCTGGCTAGCCTTGGGCAGCTTGCTAGCTGCAGCAGCAGCAGAGGCGCGGCGCCGCCTTGCTGCAGCAGCAGCAGCAGCAGCAGCAGCAGCAGCAGCAGGGGCGTCAGGGCTGACGGAGTCCTCCGCCTCGCCGCTGCTGGGGGTGGTGGCGGGGGAAGCTGTTGCTGCTTCTGCGTCAGTCATGCTGCAGCAGCAAGAAGCAAATAAGAGAAGGGAAAGGAAGACAAAAAGACAAGAAGCAGCAGCAAAAAGCGGCCCTTCACATCGCGGCTGGGCGCCGCCCCGAGGCCGGAGAGCCCCTGCTGCAGCTGCCGCTGCTGCTGCTGCTGCTGCTGCTGCTGCAGCAGTTCGCTGCGCTGCTGCGCTCGCCAAGTTTCCGCAGAGATGGGGCCCCGCGACTTTGCGCGTTTCAGGTGTCTGCAGCACGCTGTCCAGGCGGCGGCGCCCGCGGACTCGGGAAAGCTGCGTCAAAATTAGGAGAAGAGCTCGCAGCTTCTGCAGAAGAAATGCAATTGAGGAAAGAATTCAAAAGAATAAACTTGAATTCAATGCGACTTCTGCTGCTGCATGCATGCGAGGCGCTGCAGTGCCTTGCGTGGGATGCGGAGCAGATGGTCACATGGGGTGGTGAGCCACTTGCTGCGCCCACTTTCCTCTTCTTTCTTTGAATTCTCCCGCCAGTTTGTCAGTTTTCTTTCTTTTCTTTCTTTTAAACCGAAGAATTCCGACTGGGGAGCTCCTGGCGAGCTGCCTGTGCGGCGATTTCCCAGCTGTATAGACACCCGGCAGACACTGGTACTGGAATGGGGCCGCGCAACTGCGCGCAGCGCCGCCGCCGCAGAGACCAGTTCTGTCTTTTATATTTAAATTGAACAGAATTTTATATTTATTTCCTAAAAAACGCAGTTTGGGGGTCTAGAGGCCCCAGTCTCAGCAGCGAGGCCCCGTTGGGGCCACCGGTGACTCTGTGTGCAGAGCGCCGGCATCCACTGTGCAAACACTTCAATTCGACGCTCCCCAGGACCCCCCGGCTTTTTATTTATATTTATTTATTCAAATTTTCCCAATTTAATTAAATTTAAGCCCCGAGGGCCCCCGGGAGATCCCCAACTCCCGCACTTGTTCGCCGCGAGCCTTGCTGGGAGGTCAGTGGGCCGCAGTCAGCAGCGCAGCAAGCTGCTGCTGCTGCTGGCAGCTGCAGCATTTCGCAAGTTAAAAACACCAACAGGCGCTGAGTCTTAGATAAAGAGGCCCCAGAAACTCCGGGGGGCCCTCTGCTGCTGCTGCTGCTGCTGCTGCTGCAGCACGAGGCAGCAGCCTCCGCCGCCGGGCTGCTGCAGCGGGAAGCCCGCGAAGGCGTTTGCGCTGCAGCAGCTAAAGAGCCCCTTCGCTACTCTGCTGCAGCAGCAAAAACAGGAAGCAGCAGTTTTGAAAGTCCCGGAAGTTTAGAGAACTTGAGAAATGAAAAAGGCAGCAAAGTTGAACTGTCGAGACACCTGGCGGGCCTGTGCTGCAGCAGCAGCCCGCCTACAGCCCAGAGCAAAAGACACAGGAGAAGCAAAGTGAGCAGCAGCTGCTGCTGCCCCACAATGCCACTTTGCAGCAGGCCCAAGCAGCAGCACTTTGCTGCAGCAGCTTTTGCTGCAGCAGCAGCTGCTGCAGCTGCTGCAGCTGCTGCAGCATTTGCCGCTTCAGGGCCAGTTCGAAATTAGAACTGATTCGGCCGAAAGAAACTCCTAGCAGCAAGCCTTCTCTGTCTTTGCTGCTTGCTGCTGCAGCAGCAGCAGCTAGCCCGCAGCAGCTGCTGCAGCGCCTCAGTCGTTTACTTGATAGGCGAGACCCGCAGGGTTTAGGGTTTAGGGTTTAGGGTTTAGGGTTTAGAGCTGCTGTTCTCTTCAAAAGCGAATACGGCAGCAGCAGCTCTGAAACGCCTTTTTAGGGTTTGAAATGAATTTATTTTGCATGCTGCTGCATGCATGCTGCTGCAGCACGCATGCTGCTGCATGCATGCAGCTGCAGCATGCATGCTGCTGCATGCATGCAGCTGCATGCATTTGCTGCTGGAATGCATGCAGCAGATGCAGCAGCTCCAATTAGCCGCAGACTTTGCTGCTGCAGGCCATCTGGAGGGGCTCTCCTTAAAAGCCGGGACTGCAGCAGCTCGGAGCTGCAGCAGCAGCAAAGGTTGGTTTTGCTGCTGCTGCAGCAGCAGCAGCGAAATCAAACTTTGCTGCAAATGAAGTACTTGCTGCAGCATTCTGCAGCAAAGGCTCTTTTCAGAATTCAACTCAGCTCACAAGCTCCGCAGCTGTATGTACACCTGAAAGCATGCAGCAGCCAGCCCCTGTTCCCCCTTAGCTGCATTAGCAGCAGCAGCAGCAGCAGCTGCTGCTGCTGCTGCTGCTGCTGACTGAAGGGAGCTGGGCCAGCAGCTGCTGATGCAGCTGCTGGTTCAAGTCTTGAAGCTTCGACAAAGTTGGAACTTCTTTTAAATGTTTTATTAATTTCTTTTTAATTTTAATAATTCATTTTAATTCAAAATGTCCTTTTAAGCCTCCCCAGCGTTTGCTGCAAAGGCCCACAAAGCCTCAAAGCCAAGCCTTCAGCTGCAGCAGCTGCAGCAGCTGCGGCTCTTTCTTACTTCAACGCATTCTGCAAATAAAGCCTCTAGGCCCTCAACACAAGGCTATGCATGCGTGTTATAAATATATGTATTATATATATATTATATCTACAACTTTATATATATATATATATATATATATATATATATATATATATATATATATATATATATATATATATATATATTATATAAAAGGGCACTGGGGGCTCAAGTTATAGCTGCAGATGTTAGAAAGGCTTTTGGAGGTTTTGTGTAAAGAGCATTACTCAGATCTGCAGCTCATGCGGGCGGGAGGTGACATTTGCTGCTGCTGCGCTGCTTCAGCAGCAGCAGCAGCAGCAGCAGCTGCTGCTGCAGCGCGGGTGCAGCCCCCCGCAGCTGTAAACTGCGGAAAGCTGCAGGAAAAAGATTTGCTGCTGCTGCAGCTTCCTTAAGATAGGCGAAATGGGCCTTTGTGCGGCTTCGAGAGCCCTCAGGCTGCAGAATTCATGTTTGTGTGCAAAGATCTGCACAGATTCAAAATAATAAGCGGCAGATCGGGGGCTCTTTGCGCCAAAGAGGCCTTATTTGAAATTATATTTCTTTTTTTAAATAAATAATTTAAAAATAGAGTTCGAAAGCTTTCGTTTCTGCAGCTGGACCTGCTGCCAGACACCGACAGACAACTGAGCAGCTGCTGCCGACAGAATGGGAAAAGTGCGGATTTTCGCGGCTTTTTCTTTTATTTCGTTTTAAATAAAACAAATAAATTCTTTTATTTATTTATTTTAACAATTTGCTGCTTTCAAACATCAGATCGGCGCAAAGTGCCGCAGGCGCTCGCGTTCAAGTGGCTGGAGCTGCATCTGCTGCAGCGGATTCAGAAGAGCTTTCGGAGCAGCAGATATTATTTGACGGAATTCAAATTATATTATTTGATCAAGTTCAAATAAAGGTAAAAACAAAACAAAATTAACTCTTAATTGTGTCGCCGAGTTGTAGTTGAATTCTGCTGCGTCGCGCTGCAGCAGTTCCAGACGACAGCAGCAGGTGCAGCAGCTGCTCACAAAACGAGTCATTGCTGCTTTCTTTTGACTTCCCCTCAGGGCTTGGGAAATAAACTTTATTAATTATGCATTATGGTTTAAAATGCGAGGCTTAGAGTGCAGCTATTTTGCAATTGGCTCATAATTAGGGGGGCTTTCCCGCAATGGCGGCGCAACTTGCTGCAGCAGGATTCTGCTGCTGCAGGATCTGAATCGACGCGAGGCCGCCTTGAGTCGACGGAGTTGAATTGAATTAATTTGAAATATAAATAAAGAAATTAAAAGGCTTTTTATTTCTCATTTCGATCCTCTAATTGGCAAAAGGGAAAATGGCGGAAGTTTCCGGCGATCCGCGAGCCGTCGAAAACCTGAAATCCTATCTGGACGTGATCAAGGAGTCCTATGCTGCGAATGTACATTTCCTGAAATTAAAATTAAAAAAAAAGAAATTAAATTTCAAATTTAGAGATAATAAAGTCATAAAAGACCAATAAATGGCTTCAAGTCTGCATCTTGTTTGCTGTCCTAGACACAGCGCCCAGGATTCAATTCAACAAATTGGTTTGCAATTTAATCGAATTTTTTGGAATCAAACAACTTTATTGGCAAATTAAATTAATTTGACAACAAAAATGTATATTTAAATGCAAAAGAAAGAATAAATGCGGCAGATATTGAACAATTATTTGCAAAAAGTGCCAAATGCCAACAGCTGTGCAGCTGCACATACACCGCAGCAGCTGCAGCAGAGGCATTCCAGCAGCAGCAAAACACCGCCAGTTAATTATAAATGATTTTCCACAAATATAAAATAATTAAAAACGCATGCACACAAACACAATTCCCCGTAAACCAGACTGCTCAGATATTACTGTGGAATATTTAAATGCTATCTTCAAACTAGCATGCAGCTGTAGCCTCTAAAATGTACTTATATATATACAAATATTCATATATACATATATACTCATATATATCTACATCTATATGTATATATATAAAGATATATAAGAATCATATATGACACTTATATATGTATATATATACTCATATATCTACATCTATACATATGAGTAGATACATATAAGCATTATGTGTAACACTTATATATATATATATATACTCTCTATATCTATATATATATAAGTAGACATATATAAACATCATATATAAAGTGTTATATGATATTTGTACACATGTACGTATAACTAGATATATATAAGCATCATATATAACACTTACATATATATATATATGTATATACATATTTATATACATATATATATATCTACATGAATATATATGAGTAGATATATATAAACATCAGATATATATAAACATCATACATAAGTTACTATGTATCTGCATGCATATGGGGTGGAAAAGATGAAGAAAAGCAGCACTGGGGGCGCCTTTAGTTTCCAAAGAAAGGAAAAGTTTGCAGGAAAGCAGCAAATAAATGAAATTCTTTTGAAGTTTAAATTACAAAGACTTTCCAATCTGCAACTTTGGAACATCTGCGGGCAGCAGCGCAGCAGCTGGTGCTGCTGCAATGGGACCCGCAGCAGCAAAACAATTAAAATAAAATTTAAAAAATAAAAACAAAAATAAAAATAAAAATAAAAATAAAAGTAATAATTCTTTTGCTTTATGTTTGTTTCTGTGCAGCCGTGGAAGGCGCGGCTGCTGCTAGTGTTGACTGCGGATGACTCAGACCCTCAATTTAGTGCTTTGGAAGGTAAGTTTGAGTCTCGAAGAATAAACAAATAAAAATAAATATAAATAAACAGAAATAAATGAATTATAATTCAATTTAATTCAATAATTCCCTTATTTGCCGCGGCTTTCCTCGTGCGTTTCATCAATGCCCATATTCCCTCTCTCCCCGCTTCGGGTGTACGTACACCCCAAGATACCTGCGCACATGAGGCTTTCTGTCCAGTTCCTCACAAGTATATTTTCTGCAGCCATTAATCAGCACATTTGTTTACTATTTCCTTTATTTATTCTTTTATTTGCAATAGTTGAACAGCTTAGTTCCAAAACCTTGACTTGCTCATCAACTTTTTTGCACTTTACCTTTACTTACTCATCAGCTGCAACTTGAAATTTTGATTTGATAATTGAAATTTGAATTTGAATAATATATATTTATACATAATATATATATCGTGAATATATCCATTAATTAAGACTTTTTCCCTGCACATTTCAAACACTTTAACAAGCTATTTCTTTGACTTTGAAGCACAAAAACTTGCAACAGCATTAATGGTAATAACGAATTGCTGCTGCTGCTGCTGCTGCTGCTGCTGCTTATGCAACAGCCTTCATTTGCTTTGGATGGCTTTTATTGTTCCAAATTTCTTTTCAAGTGAACTGATTTCAGCTTTTGCTGCTGGCCAGGCGACTCAGCTGCTGCTCGCAGCAGCTTAAAGCTGCTGCTGCTGCTGCTGCTGCTGCAGCTGGCTGCACTGTCTGCTGCAGCTGGCTGGGCCATTTGTTTGCTGCAGCGAATCCTGTGGCTCTTTTTGCTGCAGACAGCAGCAATTTACTTGGTCAATTTTCTGCGTTTGAATCAGCAGCACCGCCCCAGTTGTTGTATTCATTTGCTTCAAACGAAATGCTGCTTTTATTTATTTTAATGAAGAAATGATTTAATTTAAATTAAAATAAATTTAAAACTTTGCATGCAGAAGGACTCCGAGCGAGAGCAGCAGAGAATTCGGCAAAGGCCATAAGTGGCATTGGGCTGTACATGGCGAACTTCGCAATTTTGCTGCTGGAAGTAAATTGTTTTGAATTAATTTAATTCAAATCAAATTTAAAACATTTAATTTAAAAGAACTCCTTTAATTACGGGTCCCTTCCACTCTTTTGGAGCGCCTGCGCACCACTTTCAGGTGTACGTACACCCTGCTGGGGTGTACGTACAGCGGTGTACGTACACCTGAAAGCAATGGCGCCACTTTTTTCACTTTTCATTTATTTCAGTTTTTGCATTTTTGTTTTCAGGGCCTCACGTCGGGCGTAATGGGCTGCATGCGCTGGCTCGACACTTTGTGTCAGTCTCAGAAAGTGAAGCAAGGATTGGTTTTGTACTTTTCAGATTGCGTAAGACTTCCTTCAAATGAGCTGCTCCTCAGCGAGCAGCAGCAGCAGCAGCAGCAGCAACAGCAGCAGCAGCAGCAAAGGGCAGCCTGCAGGCAGCCAGCAGCAGCAGCAGAGCAGCAGCAGCAGAATCTCGCCTGAAGAATTTCAAACTCCGCGTTTTCTCTTTTCCCGAATTTGAATTTGCATCTTTTGCAGATCTGCATGCAGCAGCAATCCACTTCATTAATCCAATTATTTTCACTTTTTGTTTTTTAATTTCTTTCCCGAAGTTCATTTTCATTTCTATGTCCGCCTTTTTGCCTTAAAACTGACTTTCCCGTCTTTTGCCATAAATCCCTTTTTGCCTTTTTGCTGTTCATTTCTTTTCTTGCATGCAGAATTGCAATAAAAATTATAAATTGATAATTGCCAATTTAAAACTTTTATTTTAATTCTGAATTCCCAACTTCATTCGTGCTTCCAGTTTCGCTGCTTGGGGTGTACGTACAGCCTCTGCTGCACTCGTTCCGAAGTGGAATTTCATTTTCTGCTTTCATTTATTTAATTCTTCTTTTTCTGAAGTTTGTTTTCCCGACTTTTCCCTTTTAAAAGTTATTTTTGATTTTTGAACTAAATTTATTTGGTTAATTAGTGCTGCAGCATCAGCTTTCAGTTTCCCGCCACAGAAAGGCCACTTTTTCTGCAGCTCTCGAGTTGACGACAAGCTGATAAAGATTTCCTTTTGTCTCAATTCATTTTCGCTTCGCTGCTGCTGCTGCTGCTGCTGCTGCTGCTGCTGCTGCTGCTGCTGCTGCTGCTGCTGCTGCTTTGTTCTTGAACAGCGCACTTACAGACTAATGCCGACTTACTGGTCTTTGCGTCCCAAAGAGTTTTTGAACATGAAATTCGAAGAAGGCGAAAATGAAATGACGGAAGAAGAAGTTGGCAAGCAGGTCGCGCTGCTGCACCAGCTGTACATACACCCCAAGCCGACGCAGACGCGAACCCGCCTTTGTACACTTTGCGAATATTTGAATTTATTTTTTGCATTTGAAACCACTTTAGAGGAGTAAATTGTTTGTGAATATTTGAATTTATTTTTTGCATTTGAAACCACTTTAGAGGAGTAACTTGTTCGAGAAGGATTCACTAGTTGTGAAATGGAAAAGATCCGCAAATTAAGATACTTTTGAATGGTGATTTGTTCATTAAATAAATTAAATTAATTATTTAAATTAATTAATTCCAAAAAACCATTTTTGTTTCTTATTCTCCCGCAGGTGATGTCTCTTTACCAAAAGATGATTTACTTCGCCCACGAACTCAAAGCCACGCAACCGGAGGCCGACGTCCGTCAAGTTCTAGGGTTTAGGGTTTAGGGTTTAGGGTTTAGGGTTTAGGGTTTAGGGTTTAGGGTTTAGGGTTTAGGGTGGGGGTTTAGGGTTTAGGGTTTAGGGTTTAGGGTTTAGGGTTTAGGGTTTAGGGTTTAGGGTTTAGGGTTTATGCAGGGCGCGGGAAACACCCCCGCGTTGGTGAACAGTTTGTTGACTTCGCTGTGCAACATTTCGCCCTTCTTTAGGGTTTAGGGTTTAGGGTTTAGGGTTTTAGGGTTTAGGGTTTAGGGTTTAGGGTTTAGGGTTTAGAGTTATTCCTGCATTTACTTCCCCTCCTTTTCCTCTTGTCCTGCCTTTAACTGGCAAATCCCTGGGCATTTAAGAAGTTTAGAATGCAAAATTCTTTTAAAAAAGTCTAAAAAAAAACAATTTCAAACCTTACAAAAAGCCCCATTTGCTGGCCTTTCCCCGGCCTGCATGCAGCTTGCATGCGCCATTTCTGGCCTTAAATTTGCACTTGCTTTTTGGGGCCCCACACCTGCCGCGGCCCAAAGTCAGCAGCAGCAGCAGCAGCAGCAGCAGCAGCAGCAGCAGCAGCAGCAGCAGCAGCAGCAGCAAGCCCCTGTTGCTGCTGTTTGCGCAGCTCGAGCCCGCCGGACTGCTGGCCAAGGAGTTCGCGCGCTTCGCCCCAGACCCCCGAGCACTTCAAAACCTTTTGAGTTCTTCCAAAACTTTCTCTTTGCTCTTTTCCGTGCCAGGTGCGCGCAGCTGCGGTGTACGTACACCGCAGCTCGGTGTACGTACACCGCAGCAGGGTGTACGTACACCGCAGCTGCGGTGTACGTACACTGCAGGGTCGGCGGCAGCAGCTGCAAAGCCTCGAAGGCCTTTTTAGATTTTGAAAAGCGAAAATATAAATTAATAGAACTCAGAAGATATGCTGCAGTTTGTTTCGCGTCTCTTTGATTCTTTTTTCGTTTTTTTGCTTTTTTTTCTTTTTCTTTTAATTCTCCTTTCCCTTCTAGTCCATTTGTGCTGCTGCTGCTGCTAATCTTTTCCTTTTTTATTTCCATTTCCCTTTTCTGATTTTCTTTTGCAGAGTTCTGCGAAAACCTCCTGGGGGACTTCTACGCCACTCTGCCTCGAGACCGGACCTTTTGAAGAAGCACTTGGATTAATTCGAAAAGCTTCAGCTCGAATTAAAATTTAAATTCAATTTAATTGCAATTTAAATTCAATTAAAATGCAAATTAAATGTAATTTAAATTGAATTAGAACTCAATTTAATTGCTTCTTCATTTCCTGCTACTTTCTTTGCTAGTTCGTTTGCTTTGGCCTGCTGCTTGAGCTGAAGCTAAGAAGCAAAACTCTAAAATTTGCTGCACGAATTTTCGTGCATTTTGCTGCTGCAGCAAAAGGACTTCTGTTTTGCTGCTAGGGGCTTTTGCTGCAGGTGACCCTGAGGGGCGCAATTAACTGCTGCTCTGCTGCAGCAATTTCTTGTTTTAAATAAAAAGCTATTTTTCTTTTTGCTTTAAATTAACAGCAGTTTGTGGCAGCTGTGCTGCAGCCCTCAGAGGCGCAGCTCGCGCTGTGTGCAGCCACGGCTGCACTTGGTGGTACAGAGTTTTTGGGAAGAAGACTGCAAATTAAAATCAAAAATATAATTCTTAAACCCTAAACCCTAAACTCTAAACCCTAAAGAATAGGCTGCGAAGGAGATGTTTGACTATTTAGAGCCCTGTTAATCTGCCCGCTGGCTGGGAAATGGATTAAGTCTGCTTCTAATTAACCTGAAACTGAGGCATTTCAGCAAAGAAAAAAGAAAGAAAAGAAAAAGGAAAAGTTAGAAAATGTCGAGCAACTATGGAGTTTGAGTTTGGGGCTCAGAACTAAAGTTTCAGGGTTCTTGTGGTCAAGGCGTTGTGAAATGAAACGGAAGGCACAGAGGAGTTGTGAGGGGAAAACTGCCCTCACGGCAGTGCAGTCCGTCAACTTCAGGGGAAAAATGAAAGATAAAACGAAATAAACGGGCAAAATATATTTTTAAATTGATTTTTCGCTTTAATTTTGTCTATTTCCGTCACTTTATGTCAGGAGCAGCTGGTCTGCTCGCGGTGTACAGACACCGCGGGTGGTCACCTATCGCAGTCCACGCCCACTTCAATGCCACTTCTATTTCTGAAACTGCGGAAACATCAGTTCTGTTTGTTCTGAATTGTTTCTTTTTGAAAGTGTGGAATATTTTGTTGAATTAATCTCTTTCAGGTCGTATTTGCTTCGCTTTCCAGCAATAATGCTGCGCTTTCTCGTGTTTCTGCTGGCCTGCTGCAGCCTGACCCACGCTGCTCGCGCAGGCCGTGCTCGTCCCACAGTGCCTTTGGAAGAAACTGAAGAAAATGTTTCTCCCCGCCTTTTCCTTCCATTAGACACTCTTGCCTACAGTTTCTTCCTCAAACTCAATGACGAGGAGTGAATGAGCGGCAGCCACTCCCGCTGCTGCTGCTCCTGCAGCAGCAGCAGCAGCAGTAGCAGGTGACCATTGACAGCGCGCGAGAACCTTCCTTTCTCGCGGCTAAGTCTCAAGGAAATAAGAGCTGCTCCAGAAGACTCAGCAGCAAATCTGAAGCGTGTTGTAGACTTTTTTGCTGCAGGCATTCACGAACAGCGGCAGCAGCAAGAGAACAGCAGCAGCATGAGAATAGCAGCAGCAGCAAGAGCTCAGCTGCTCTATTCCATTAAGTTGGTATTTCTTCTTCTTTACAAACTCAGAGAGCCAACAGGTCTTTTAAAAACATTCCGAAAAACTTTCTGAAAGGTAATTTCTTTTCCTGCAGCTCTTCGCCGTTTCTTTCTGCTGTCTGTACACCCCAAGGAGTGCACAGACACCCCAGCTGCAGCGCTGCTCAGGCAGGAAGTTTGAATTGCTACCTCTGCAATACAAATTATTAAATCAGCAGCAGCAGCAGCAGCAGCAGCAGCAGCAGCAGCAGCAGCAGCAGAAATGTAGCAATAGGCGCGTGCCCATCTTCGGCCTGCCGCAGCCCGTGCGCTTCAGCGTGCTCTCCGAACTCAGCTAGCTAGCTCGCCACGTAGCTAGCCAGCTCCAGCTAGCCGTCACAGCTAGCCACAGCAAGCTGCCACAGCTAGCTGTGCCAGCTAGCTGTCGAAGCTAGCCACAGCCAGCTGCCACAGCTAGCCACAGCTAGCTGTCGTAGCTAGCCACAGCTAGCTGCAGCATCTAGCCACAGCTAGCTGTAGCCTAGTGCCACTCAGCTGCCTAACTGGGCCTCAGCCGCTGCTGGCTAGCTGTTCAGGAGTAGGACTGTCTCGCTAGCAGCTAACAGCCACTGCCTAGCAACGAGCAATATCTCCAGCTAGCCAGCTAGCTAGCTAGCTAGCTAGCTAGCTAGCTGGCTAGCTAGCCACGAAAGAGTGCGCGATTGGCAAATTTGAAGAGGCTTTGTTATGGAAGAGTGGGGCCTCGAGAGCCGCTCGGCGGGGGGCCCCGGAATTACCTGGAGTTATAAATAGCTGCATGCAAGTGCTGCAGTTGTGAACAGCTGCATGCAAGTGCTGCAGCCATGAACAGCTGCATGCAAGTGCTGCAGGCAAGAACAGCTGCATGCAAGTGCTGCAGTCAGAGTAGCTGCATGCAAGTGCTGCAGTCATAAATAGCTGCGTGCAAGTGCTGCAGTGATAAATAGCTGCATGCAGCTGCTGCAGCTGCGAGTGGCTGCATGCAGCTGCTGCAGCTGCTGCAGCTGCATGCAGCTGCTGCAGCCAGCAGCAGCTGCATGCAAGCGGCGCAGCCACAAACAGCTGCACGCATGCGCGGCAGCTGCCAACAGCTGCATGCAAGTGCTGCAGCTGTGAACAGCTGCATGCAGCTGCTGCAGTCACAAGCAGCTGCAAGCAAGTGCTGCTGCAGTCACAAGCAGCTGCATGCAAGTGCTGCTGCAGTCACAAGCAGTTGCATGCAAGTGCTGCTGCAGCTGCATGCAAGTGCTGCTGCAGTCAGAAGCAGCTGCATGCAAGTGCTGCTGCAGTCACAAGCAGCTGCATGCAGCTGCTGCTGCAGTCAGAAGCAGCTGCATGCAAGTGCTGCTGCAGCTGCATGCAAGTGCTGCTGCAGTCAGAAGCAGCTGCATGCAAGTGCTGCTGGACCTTGCAAACGCGAAGCGGGCAGTGGGGTGTACGTACACTCGGCAAATCCCCTCGCCAGAGGTCCGCAGGGCGCCTCGAGTTCCTTCAAATGGTCCGCGCCTCTCTGGAGAGTCACATAAGCAGTGGAAGAATAAATAAATTAAATAATTTGAATATAAATAATTTAAATGAACTTAATGCACTTTGCTGGGTTTATGTTTCGTCACTTCTCCGACACCCCGCGGCTTCGCTGCTCCGAAAGCTCCTCCTTGTGCTCAGTGCGTGCCCGCTTCACTGCCTGGAGCACCTCTTCAGCAGCAGCAGCAGCAGCAGCAGCAGCAGCAGCAGCAGCAGCAGCAGCAGCAGCTGCTGCTGCTGCTGCTGCAGGGTCTCGCGTGCTGCGTGCTTTCGGGAAGAAAGCAAAAGCGCCGAGTGCGAAAGTGGCACAAACGTGCACTGTACGTACACCTGAACACCTGCAGCAGGGGCCCCGCCTGCGAATTTCTGTTTTCAAAATCCCAAAAGTTTCCCTCAAACGGCTTGAGCAGCAGCAGCTGCTCGCCGGCCCCTGTGAACTCCGTGCTGCTGCTGCAGGTGTCGCTGCTGCTGCTGCAGCTGGTGCTGCTGTTGCTGCAGCTTTTGCTGCACTTCGGCTGCTGCAGTTCTGCTGCTGCAGGTTTCGCTGCTGCTGCTGCAGCTTTGCTGCTGCGGCTGCGGCTGCTGCTGCTGCTGCTGCTGCTGCCCCTCTTCTGCTGCAGCCCGGGAGCTGGACGGCTTGAAATCCCTCTTGTCTGCGGCCAAACAAATCCCAAAAATTTGCACTTCAAACGCCACCTGTGTGAACGCGAAAGGACAAAGGCAGAAGAAGACTGCTGTCAAATCAGCTCAAAATGTCTGCATTCAGGGCCCTGGCCCGCCCCGCGCTGCAGCAGCTGCAGCAGCAGCAGCAGCAGCAGCAGCAGCAACAGCGGGGGCTGCGGGCCGCTACTCCTTCAGCTTCTCCACGAGGCCCTCCGCCGGGGGCAGCGGCTGCCACAGCGAAGACAGCAGCAGCAGCCGCTCGCCGCCGAGAGAGTCTGGAGTGTTGCATGCAGAAGAAGAAGAAGAAGCGGAGCAGCAGGAAGAAGCAGCAGCAGAGTCGAAGTCATCGACGGGGCTTTCGGGGGTCGAGCAGCTCAGCGCCAGCTGCTTGCTGCTGCTGCTGCTGCTGCTGCTGCTGCTGCTGCTGCTGAGTTCAGCCTTGCGCTTGGCGGCGGCCACCGACGCGTGCGCGGCGGCGGCGCTGCTGCTGCTGCCTGCAGCAGCAGCAGCAGCAGCAGCAGCTGCTGCTGCTGTTTGCTGCTGCAGCCGGCCCGCCGGACGGCTCCCCACTACGACGCACTCCAGCGCCGAGACCTTTCGCTCGAGCTCGCCCAGCAGCGACACAGAAGAAGCAGCAGCAGCAGCAGCAGCAGCAGCAGCTCCGCTGCTGCAGGGGCTTCCTGTTGGGAAAGCACTGGATAAACCTGCTTCTGCTGCTAGCCGCAAAATCAGCTGCTGATTCAAAAGCGACTGCGCTTCCATTTTGCCCCCGAAGCAGCCGGACAAAGCTGCTGCTGCTGCTGCTGCTGCTGCAGACCCCGCGAGGCCCCCGGGCTCGGCCCCCGGCGCCTTCCCTCCTGCTGCTGCTGCTGCTGCTGCTGCTCCCGTTGCTGCTGCTGCTGCTGCTGTTGGTTGGAGGTCAGTTGTTTTCAGACTCTCCGTCAGCTCCATTATTTGGCGCTGCACTGCCAGCAGCTGCAGCACCTGCAGGTACTGCGCAGCAATAGTGTAGTTGGTGGTCAATGCATGCAGGCTCACGGGCAGTTCCGCCGAGCCCTCGCTTGCTGCTGCTGCTGCTGCTGCTGCTGCTGCTGGTGGGGGTCCAGCTGCTGCTGCAGCTGCAGCAGCAGCAGCAGCTGCTGCTGCTGTTGGGGGGGCGGCGGCGGCGGCCTCGAAGGAGCCCAGGGAGTCCCCGAAGGCCGTGGGGTGTACGGACACCCCAAGGGTGGTGGCGGCGGCAGCAGCGCCGCTCAAGTGGTCGGTCACAGCAGCAGCAGCAGCAGCAGCAGCAGCAGCTTTGAGTTTGCTGCGGCTGCGCCGCTGCTGCTGCGCCGGGCCGCCGTGGCTGTTGTCTCCCCCGCTGCTGCTGCTGCTGCTGCTGCTGCTGCTGCTGCTGCTGCTGGGGTTCCTGTGCAGGGGCGCCTCAGCTTCGTCGAAGGGCTCTCCCGGGAGCTCTGCGGAGAAGAAGACGCGGCCGCGGGGGTGTGTGTTGGTCTGTTCGGCTTCGAGCTGCTGCAGCAGCAGCAGCAGCTGCTGCTGCTGCTGCGTGTCTTGCTGCAGCAGCACGCTGAGCTCCTTCAGCTCCTGACTGAAAGACGCTTCCTGCTGCTGCTGCTGCTGCTGCTGTTGCCCGTTGCTGCTGAGCAGAAAGCTCTGCGCTGCGCCCTTGGGCCACAGGTTGTCGTTGAACTCCGGCAGCAGCACTCTCTGCTGCTGCGGGGGAACAGCAGCAGCAGCAGCAGCAGTTGCAGCTGTTGCTGCTGTTGCTGCTGCAGGTGGTGTGTGGGGTCCTGGGTTGGCGAAGAAGGCGTCGTCGTCGGCAGCAGTTGCTGCTGCGTCTGCTTGGCTGCTGAGGAGGCCGTCCTGCTGCTGCTCGCCGCGCTCGCCTTGCTGCTGCTGCTGCTGTTGCTGGCGGAGGAGGAGGTGCTGCTGCTGCAGTTGCTGCTGCAGCTGCTGCTGCAGGTCTCCCTGCTCCAGCAGCCCCCTCCCGCAGCAGCTCCACGGCAGCGCGTGCATCATCTGCTGCTGCTGCTGCTGCTGCTGCTCCGCACCCGCTGCTGCTGCTGCAGCCACAGCAGCAGCAGCAGGACTTGCATGGCGGTTCCGCTTTGGGGGAGGCGCTGGGAGTTTGAGGGCGTCCGTGAGCGTCTCGTAGTCCCGCAAGTACGCGGGACAGGCCCTCCTCGCCCTCTTGGGCCTCACTGCTGCTTGCTGCTGCTGCCTCTGCTGCTGCTGCTTCTGCTGCTGCACTTGCTGCTGGCTGCTGCTGCTGCAGCAGCTGCTGCTTTGACTCCTCCCTCCTCCCGCTCCTCCCTCCTCTCCCTCTCCCTCTCCCTCTCCCTCCCCCGCCCCCGCTCCCCCTCCCTT